GTACGAACGGTGGGTAACTACATGACTTCAGTAAATACTGGTTCAGGGAAGAGCTATTACATAGCATACTGTAATAAACCAGAATAGGGAAAGCAAGCCATTAAGGAAATTGCGTGGTAATTGGATGTTAAGGAGAATAAAAACAATATACACATAATATCTGTGAATATTTTTGTTTATACTTATGAAAATAGGACGGGTCCAACGAAGTGCGGCACTTCAGTCGGAAATAGCTCAGTATACAGAAAAATCTAAAATATATGAGGAGGTCCTATTAGCGAGTAGGGTGGTGTCAATAGCGCTGTAAAGAGCCAGAGCAGCAACGACAAGCCGCTGAAAAGCCGTCTTGCTAGCCGAATTTTGTGCGCGGACGAATCAATGCGTCCGTAATTGGCTTGCTAGACATTTCAAAGAAAAATGGTGACGGGTTCGGTAAGCCGAATGGTACAGGTGGCTGAGGTGGTGGTGGTGAGGTAGCGAAGTGAAGGGCGGAGAGCATTGGCGACGGTTGTCAGCCGTCGTTACCGCCGTCGTCGTCGGCTGAGGTACCTGACGCGCGAGGCCGGCCCTGTAATAACCCCCTCATTAAGAAGGAAAGCAAGACACACCGCGAGGCCGGTTATAGAGCGGTAGTGCGGGCAGAGACACAGTAACTCGGAAAGAGACGGTAAGCGGCCACTATATAGCGCAGCGAAAACACCCGTTGATGTCTACGCAACTTTACTGAAAAGTGAGACGCCCCACAGTGGACGATCAACGGCTGTCGAGACGGGGAGAGCATGGAGGGTTGAAATTTTGGATGTTTTGCACCCCACCAGATTGTTGAGATTGTGCCGTATCTTCGCTTCCTGTTAAGAGCAACAAATGCTTGAAAGCAGTGAATGTAATTAGCAGGAACCAAAACGCCGCTATGTCACTTGCGCTTATGGCAGCCTCCTCCTTAATGGTTGGTTAAAGTTAGATGGTTGGGGTGAAGAATGAGTGCAGGCCAATCATTTAGAGAACAAGCCGCCTACTTTGTTCTCATGGGCTCACAGAGTGCGAAAAAGGATTCTCTGAAGAGTTATTATGAGCACACGTTGGCAAGAGAGCGGTAAGCCGAACCAGTTGCTAAAATACACTAATTTACTTCTTTGAGTAGGTAATGAACTGAGGTCACCAGGAAGAGTGACTGCCGGCTATCAGAAAAATGTGGAAGTTTTACCCCCCCGCCGTCATACACGAAATCCCACTATAATTATTCGGCTAATGGCAGGCAGGTGGGTAGAGTTAATGCACTTGATCCAGAATGTGTCGCAAAGCACTTGCTTCCAATCATGAGAGGAACAAAACTACAATAGCTACGCTTATATTCCTTCTTGCCACGCACCTTCTGAATATTCTTATTGCTTTTTGCTTCATTTCAATTATTGCATGGATTTCACCCAACTATTTAATTATATTATCATTAAGACATGTTCAAAAGATTTTTACATAATCATGTTTATTTGACTTAGTGCGGCTTAACTATTCAATCAAATCAAGCAGAGAGGGTTTAACAAGTTTGCCTAATTACTCTGGCAAAATGTATGGGGCCTCGATGGAGAATCGAAACACGCAGTAATGTTCTGTGAACACCTCACTTATCCGCTACACATTAGAAAGGTGGATGCTCTTTGCCATCTGCCTGAAAACAAGACCGATAAGTGTTAACAAAGCCACGAGTAGGGATTAGGTTTCGCAGAGCAGCCTATTCCGGGATGCCGAAAGAGCGGGTCGCCCAAAGCAGGACACTACATCTCCAGTCGCCTCACAAGTGAGGCAAGGCGCTAAGGCTTGCCTTGTGTGCCTGCCTGTCAGCCACCTTATCAACTATCGCCATCCGTTTCTCTGCCGCATACCAAACGCCACTAACAGGGGGGGGGCAAAAAAAAAAGAGTCACTTTGCCTATGGCGCATATCATCAAACTTTTCGTCGCAAAGGATGCCGCTGTTATTGGGAGTTATACGGCAAATTATTCCTTAGATGTCCCCCCATAAGCAGAATCAGGCCCACCTTCGCTGCTTTCACCGTCTCCAGAATATGACGTCATCTGTCATCACCGTCGAGCTAAGGAGGCCTACCATAATCGCTCCATTCTGAAGCTGCTACATAATTTCTTCAATCGGATAACTGGTGAATGACTTCTTAGAGACACTAGCTCTGACTATGCAAAATGGCTTTTGACCAGCGTTTCAGAGACGTCGTAATCATCTATGGTTTCTCGACGACCCCGTTGAGCTCGTACCGCGAACCATGTTTCCGTGGGAAAATCTTCTGGTGTCGTCGGTTTAGAAGGCCACTATGCAATGTTTTTGATAGAATAGAATGTGCTCTTCAATATGCAATTGAGCTCATTCGGTTTTGGTTTTGGCAAAGTGTAATTAATTCTGTTTTGAATGTGAGTAGGAGTGACTCTTTTTTTGCCCCCCCCCCCCCCCCCCCTCCATTGCTTTCTCGCGCGTTTTTCTTTCTTCTCGCACGAACATGTGTCTTCCGTCATGCAACGGCCTGGCTTCTAAGGAAAACTTACATAGGCGCCTCTTCCAGGACCATGGAGGCCTTTTTGAACCCTGTCTGGCTGTTGTAGGGGCTCATGCGTGAAGCGCAAAATCGTGATCCATTTTTCCTGAACGCCTCCAGGAATACTAAAACAGAAGTGAAGAAATGGTCAGAGTTCGATCCTCGGTGATGACTAATTTTTGCAATATAGTTTGGCGCCCCAGATTGCCGCCAAATGGCGCCATCGTCGAGAATAGATGTCATTGTCGTGTTTTGCGGCAATTTGGAGGCGCCAACATAAATTGCAAAAATTTGTCATCACGGAGGATCGAACTTTGGACCATTTCTTCCCGCTGTTTTGACATTCCTGGGGCGTTCAGGAAAAATGGACCATGGTTCTGTGTTCCTCACATGAGCCTCTACAACATCAAGAAACCATTTTTGAAAAACGCTCCATGTCCTGAAAGGTACTCCTTTTTAATCCTTTTTATGGTGCTTTTTGCTTCGTCTCCCCACTAATGTTCCTTATTGCACTCCTTGCCTAATTTTCCAACAAAATATTGCATCAACTCAATCCCGACTTGTGCCTTTAAGAAAACAATTTCAAGGACGCTTTTGGAAGAATAAATTGTCTGAGTGGTTCCAAATCTTCTTCCACTGGAACTTGTTCGTGCCGATGAATTATGTGATATAGAGGTAGCATTTTGGGTAGAGGTGCTGTGCTTCAATTGCAGAGTGAAATTCAATCAACAGCACTGCTGTTGGAACCATCAATCAACCCATGTCGTCTGGTATGTACCAGCTTCGACTTCTACATATGTTGTTTTTTAGAAATCATTGGGTGAGCAACATGTACTCTGGATCAGCTCCACGATTCGTATTCAAACTTGAGTGCGCGGCGCATCCCAATGAAATGGTCTAGTAGCGCTACCCATGAGCTTCTCACAGTATTACCTAGGGCATTCAATATCTATGTTGTGCATACGTAACTAGCTTAACTTGGCTATAACTGGTTTGGCTCAGACCGACAACACTACCAGGAGCGAATCCTGTTCTTCTTGAAGAGATGTGAACAAAAGATCACTTGCAATTTTTGCTTGTATATTATTCTTCCAAGAAGTTGGTATGACGCAGTGGCAAGAGTCGCAGCTGTCACGTGCAAATGCTCGTAGAACGGATTAGACGCTCGTGATCGCCCGACCCATTGATTAAATGAACTTGTTCGGCTCAATAACAAATTTGAGCTGAACATAAACATCGTGCAGGTGTTTCCGCCCCAACCAGCTTATGTTTCAATTATTTCGATAAATATTGTCAAATGTAACATAACTCTAGTGCACGGCGCATTCTCGACAGTCCTTCACTCTGAATGTTATGCTCGAAGCTGTTCGCCATCATTCACCCTTATCTTTGTTAGCACATTCTGGGAACTTTTGAAACTTCCTAATGAAAAACGGCTGGAGCACCTATCACAGGCATTTCCCGTGAACCAAATTTTTGATAAAATCTCACCCGGATCTGTCGAGCCTTTCAACACCATCGTGTTTATTGTCATGCTCGTGCGGGACGAGGGACAGCTGCTCGTGTACCGACTAGCTAATGGAAAGTGTTGTTGAAAAGAAAAGCACATTCTAATGTCCCTACGTTTACGAATGAAAGTCAAGTACATGGCGCATCCTAGGAAGAATTTCAGAGGAAAGGCTCATCTGATTCATCACAGAAACTTTACGCGTTTGAGCGGGATGGATTAATCCCTTCCATAAGTAGGGTAAAACTGTCCATTAAGGGAAAGTGGTGCTCCATATCGTGGCAAGGTACGCAAAGGAAGGCGCAAAATACCTGGTTCTCCGCGCAGGCCGCTCACCTATCGCTGCATAGGTGCATCGAATACTGCCTGTATCGCTGCACACGCCGGTGCTCAGTCGGCTGTTATTCTCTCTCGCCAATTTCCTTCAATTGCGACATAGAGTGGCTTCTCGTATGTGCGTCCACCTTTTGTAAAAGCGAAACCCTTGCTTATAAAGGATAAAGCATTTGCCGTTGATCAATCCCTTTTGGGATGCGGCACGCATTCTACTTCCATTTGTACATTCGTAGTGGCGTTTGAATGCGATGTGGCCTATACAATGACTTGCGGGGGCCAGCCGATGTTCAAGTCAGTGTTTTTATCCTCCCAGACAAGTCTGGTACCAATTAACCGACCCCGGAGGGATGGAAGGCTTGGTTGGCCCGGGCGACTCACGACCCAGGATTTGATCCCGGACCGCTCGCGTGGTGAGCGCGCCACTTGTCACTACACCACTTCCGCCCCTCTTCCCTTGCTTATGTTTATTTTTTTCTGCGATTTCATTTCTTTTTCTTCACTTTTCTTATTCGCGGATCTCATCCTGAAGGTGTGGGGGGCATGCGGTGTGACAGTTGCCACCGCCTACAATGGTTCCCTATTTAAAAGGGGAGGAGAGCCCCGGAGTGTGCTCACCATTTGCTTCCGCTTTTGCACTCAAACCGTAGCTTCCTTGAACGGCGAAAAGCTGAATTAGGTACTTTCGATGTGAACAGTCCACATATCCCCCATCTTTACTAGATGAGGCCCTTATTGGCAACTACATCCATTTTCGAATCAAGAAACCACAAAAATCGATCGCGAAAGGAGAAAGGACACTTTGCGACAGAGCAATCTCCTCCATGGGATGGTACACTTGACCGCAGATGTCGTGCCAATTTCGTGGCTCAAGAATGGAAATGAAGGGCACTGAATGCTAGTTTTTGCAAGCCTCGTGGCATGAAGGCCCGGATCCGCGTCATCTTTGGCTATGGTGCTTATGTATACTACCTAGCCCTGTGTTCTATCATAAGTATTGTTTCTGGCCCCTCGTCCATGCTTGTACTGTTTTCGCCGTGAGCTCGTGTATGCTCAAAATCATTGCGAAAGAGTTATCCAGTGCATTTCTGGCATCTTTTGGTCTATTCTCTTGGAAAGTTAGCAGTTACAGTTCTATGAATGAAACCCACTAATCATCCATGTTGCTAGCATGAAAAATGTTTCTGACTGTCTGGAATCACTGTGAGAATCTTCGCACTTCGGGTTAGCCTACTAGAAGAGATCTATCGACAGAAGTCTCCTGAAACTAACCCAAATAGAAGAATTGCAATTTGAATGGGGAACGCGAAAAATCTGAAAGCTATAACATCTGCGGTAGTAATGAACCCTGCTGGTTAGTAGCTGGTTAGAAGGAGGCCGGCTTGTCCTCAGCAAGTGGTAGCAGGAATGTTTTATCGATAGTGATTACGATCAGAAAAGCTGAGAACATGGCATGGATACGTCATACATGGCCAACCCATTTTTCCACTATTTATAAAGCATCGGGGGGATGGCTTATCTTGTAGAGCTCCTGATAATTGGAGATGATGCGATACACTGATCGTCTGGAAGTGGAAGTGGAATTATTAAGAAGGGCAGCAGTGGAGTAAAGCCGGGGCAACGTCCTGAAACCCGTGAAACGGAATGCTTGTTTTCTCGCTAACTTACGCCCGGACGAGTCTCGTTGGTGCTGACGTCATCAGTGCGAACGTTTTGCTCTGCTTCTCTGTTGAAAAGCTAGAGCCCGACGGCTACGGACTGGGTGGCCAGTCGGTAGGCATGGATAGCCGCAAAGAGAATTCACAGCCGTAGGGCCCTGCTATGCCGCTACTGGTGCATACTTCGCAGCACCACGCGTTTCGTCCCACTCCCTAAGAGGATCTGCCTACCTCTATAGTAGATAGTATCGCCTAAGTAAGTACTGTGCTTCAGTCTATTTTGGTTAGCAATTTTCGGTCAATGATCAAGGGGTAGTCCCAGAAAGCAAACCATTGGATCAGAAGGATTCATTCAATAAATGCTAAAGCGAGGGATTACTATAAAGTGTGAGCACAAGAATGGAAGTACCCCCTATTTCGGGAGACGAGAAGAGCGTCGAGTGCAGACCACACACCACAAGTGACGACGGCCGGAAAGAAGTGGCTTTTTTCTTGGCCGTCGTCACTTGTGGTGTGGTCTGCACTTGATGCTTTTCTCGTCTTCCGAAATAGATGCACCAATGGAAGTAGTAGTCAGGGGACGAAGGAAGTGGCCAAAGGGCGCTAGTTCAGCGCTCAGGGGCTACCAACCCATTCTGAGCTCCGTCTCCACCGCCTCTGCTCCGCCAATCAGTTTGTTGCTAGCACCATCATTGTTCTGGTTTTTCAGATAAGGTATTCCACTTCGGGCGCATAACACTACATATAACCCTCCCATAAAATGAGGGTACGAAAGTTATCGATCAAGACGTGGTCTTTGCTGGTGGTAGTGGCTATCGGTTTAGCATGAGTAAACGACCGCTTAGTTGGCTGAAAGCTTGTCCATTATCGGTGGTACAAAAAAGGGTCTCATTATGCTCTTGCTTTTTTAAGATTTCATTTTCTTTCTTTTTTCTCTATTTTTATTATTTTCTTCTTTCTTTCTTTTTTTTCATTTTTCCCTCACTGGAGCATTATTAAGCATTCCCACTTCCTTTATAACCCAACCCAATCAAATCGTAATCTCTCGCTTTAGGTTGAGCAGTCAAGCAAGTGCAAAATGTCCATTTATGGTGAATTTATGGCGCGGTCTAGGCCGACTGTCGACATTTCCTGAAAAAAGACTCGCTGTTAGTCATCCACCTCACCGCAATTGTTGTCTCCAAACAGTGGGGGGACCGCTCGGAAAGGGCGTCACCCGAGCAGAGAATGACTGCGCGACGACACGGCGCTGAACTTGTCGCTCCCAAAAACTCACGTCTGCGCATCGATTCATCAGTGGATTTATCGACACCACAATGCTTTCTCACATCTCGTTGGGATCCGCCTATCACAGTCCTACTTTCAGTTCATTCGTGATCTCATTATGAGATGCGATCGACGTCCATGTGCCAACATGGAGCCTTTCTTCGTTTTCTCATTCTGAATTCGTTAATTTATATGTTTTTCATATGATATGTATATGTTTTGATTTGATTATAATATAGAGCCTTATGTCAGTCAATCCTATAGTGCAAGACTGGACCCATTATTTTAATTTGTTAAGGGATAGTTGTCTGAGGTTCGAGGTTGAACATTGGTTGTATATGTAGTAACCTCTCCCCTTGACCATGCTCCCGCTTTCGGGCGGCTTGTGCATACAGGGGGGGAGGGGAGTCACCTTGTCCAGTCTCCATATCACTAAACTGTTCTTCGCACAAGATGCCACCGTTAGTGGAAATTTCTCAGCAGAATATTCTTCTTAGATACCCCCTCATGAATAATTGCAGGCCCTCCTTCACGACTCCCACTGTCTTCGGAATATGACGTCATCTGCCATCAAAGTCGAGCATGAGGAGGCCTACATACAGTACTCGCTCCGCCCTGAACAGCTACATGTTTTCAATTGGTTAACTGATGCATATAATTATAAGTATAAGTATATCTTCTTTGAGCCGGTAGCTCTGAATTTGCAAGGCAGATCAAGTGTCCGTTCGCACTATTCCAACGAGGGGGGTCGCATTTGGATTTTGGTAAGAGGGAGGTCGNATTCTGGGGTTGAACAACATTATGATAGTGTTGGTGGATTTGCCGCTGATATCAGTTTATTAATCACCCTCTCTTCCTTCCCCTCCAGCTTGAGGACCGTTTTGGAAGAAGAAACAGTGGGCGGAGTTGAGCTGTGTCGACTGGTTGAAATACTATCGAAGCAGCCCACGACGGTGAGGGTGGTGGTCGGAGAGCGGAAAAGCGGAAAGGGGAATCATATTGGGGGAGCTTTCAAGAGACTGATGACGGTGGGCTCACATCGAGACACCCTAAATGGGGAGGGGCCGCAAAATTTTCGAAAAAATGGCGAGCATGACAGTTGACCATGTTTGCAAGACCGCTATTGACCAGCGTTCAAAATATGGTGGTAACGGTCTACAATCCGTCGAGGGTATCTTTGAGGTCGAACCGTGCACCATATTTCCAGGGTTTCCCGATATCGTCGAGAGAAAGTTTGCTATGAGAAGTTTTTTCTGATAGATTGGAATGTACTGTTTATATTTCAGTAGTGCATTCGATTTGAATTCAGCGAAGTGTGATTTATTCCGTTTTAAATGTGGCTAGGAGAGACTTTTTTGCCTCACTCTACCTGTAGAGAGGGGCTCAGGAACTGTAGAAGTGGAAATGTAACAGAGCTCTGATTTTTCCAAGCTCAAAGGTAGAGCGGAACCGTTAGACTCATCCCAATCCAGCTTTTACATCACTTTCTCGATTTTGCCTTCCGTGCGAAGAAGCGTGATCAAGAAAAGAGACGCTTTCCTCCACCTCCAGTTCCGAATTGAAAGCATGTTCCTAGTATCAGCAGGACGAATCCGTCTAGCAGTGTGTAGAGTACGCTACCTAAGTAGTGGAGAAAAGCTCCTAATAACCATGTGCAATGACGATAGCAGAAAAATCGTCTCGGGAACAGGGTTCGAGCCAACGAGGTCCTTCACGGATCATTGATTGATCATTGACGATTACGACGTTATCTGTAATGGTGGTTGGGAGGGGTTTTGCACATTTCATATCTACAGTATCTAGGAAGCCATCCATCCACACAGTAAACTGTCAAAAGGACATGTGGCAGATTCAGGCTGGAGCAATTACGGTAGGCCTCCCTGAGAATCACACCGGTGATAGCAGACGATATTCTGTAGACGGCGAGGGCAGTAAAAAAAGGCTTATTGCTACTGCTAATGACATTTTGAGAATAATCGTGGCCGGAGCCGCCAACGCAGCCATGGTTACCCTATGCGAGTGTAGCTGGCTGATGTGGGCAAAGTCGTATTTTTTTTTATGAGCAAAATGCGCTATTTCTTTGAGTCTACCGTAATAACGACCGCTAAGTGCTTGTCACTGTGTTAGTTCGTTTTTTCGTAGTTCTATATGTTTATTAGAAAATGTGCCATTACTCATATTACTGCTAAACAGTTCAGAGCGAGTAATTTGAATAGTTTGGACCCCAAGCGTATGGGAGGCATAAAAGAACTCCCATTGCAGCGATGGGCGGATAGTAACATTTAGGCAGTGTCACGAAGAAACCCATTCCGTCTTCAAACCCTTGAAATTAGTGAAAATGGGTAATTATGAGAGCGTTATTCATAAAATGCGATGGAGAAGACTCATTTTCTGGATTGGTGTTCCGAATAAAGCTCATAGCTTTTTTCTCCAAAATATGTATTTAAGGAGCAAAAACAATGGGATAAAACTGCAGCGTATTGAGTACGTCCGAAAAGCACGAAACCTCGTTAGCAGTTGGGGGACATCGGGAGCAATCCTTTCATTTGGCCGTGAGATTACAAAATTTCAAGTCTCTGTTCATGGACATCCCTTACACTGGGAATAAGGGGTTCAACGAAGGAGAAGAAGTGTTACTGAAAACTAGGAACAAACATTCATAGCGGTGGGAGCATGAACCATAGTAGGCGGAGTCAAAACGGATTTCTAATGACGTACACAAGGTTAGCCGATATTGGCAGGAAAAAACTTGTAAAGCGTGCGCTTTCCTGAGAATGATAAGGTCAAAGTGTTAATGATGGGATGTCTGAACTGATGTTGATTTAATCAAATCCATGAAAGTGGCATGTTCAATGCTAATCTCCAGAAATAGGGGAAAATGGGCAGAAAGCAGTCAAGGAGTAGAGATGAAATGACCCAAGGAGAGCAGAGGTGAAATCAAAAATTGCGATGGAACCATTAGATCTCGCGGAAATGCACGCTGACAGCAACATCACTGTAGAAGAGCCGAAGTGGAATTACACGTACTGAATGGCCCAAATGGTTCAAACCCGTGAAGTCATTCCACTCGTGGCATATTCTCAAACTGCAAGCTTTCCTTGAGCTTTTGGGGGAAGTGCTAATGTGCACTACAATAAGACCGATAAGGATCTAGCGTAATGCGCTCGATGCAAAGTCTGATATCTGCCTAAAGCAGACACAAGACTTGATTAGCTTAATTTCAGCTCCAACAGTTCTGATGGTTCATCTTCTTGAAGCTTACCACTTTGCCAAACAAAGTTTTCGTGTAATTACTTATATTAATCTGCGGAGATCATATCGTGGCGAATTATTAGATAATGCCGTACCATGAATCACAATTTTTGGCTCAAATCGAATACATGGCACACTTGAAAATTGATCATGGATCCTTAATTCATTTATTTTCTTCCCCTCAGTCGTATGGATGTCGCTTGGTCTCATATGTTGTTTCCTCAACATAAGTTCTATTTATTGACCAGCTTCTTCGATGCCCGCTGATTATATTTACCTTTTATTCCTGTTACTACATTCAACTCTTCCGACGGACCTGGCTACAGCCCACGATCTGGCAATCTGCAGCACGTTCTTCGCGAAAAGGAAGACTCAGAAGGTAACCTACAGCAGTGGAGGGAGACAGACGGAAATCGACCATGTGCTGGTAAGAAGATCAACCCTCAAAACTGTGAAGGATATCAAAGTTCTACCCGGCGAAGATCTGGCTCCCCAGCACAGGCCCCTCCTGGCAGACATTGCGATAGACCTCCCCAAGAAGACAAGGGTAAGAACCGAGAGGAGAATCCGGTGGTGGAAGCTGCACCAAGCGGAGAAGGATGACCTCAGGCGAAAGATAATGGAAGTCGGTCTCCCAGATCCAAACGGGCCAATACAGCGGACTTGGGGCAGCGCGGCTGATACCATCCTGCGATGTGCCAAGGAGGTCCTGGGCGAGACGCGAGGTGGATTCAGAGGAGACAAGGCAGCGTGGTTCTGGAACGAGGAGGTCCAGCGAGTCGTGAAGCAGAAGAAGGAAGCATACAAGCGCTGGCAGAAGACCCGGAGCCCCGA